CCTAGCTTTTTTACTAAACGGCGCCGTTCAACAACCCGCATGAATGATAGAATTAGGTCGAAGCCGCTTACATTTATATAATATAGAACTAAGTGCATATTTAGGCATGAAAAGTTGTGTTGAAACGCATGGGCTGAATTTCATTCAGGCCGCTAGTTAAACGTAAAATTACTAGGCTTTAAGGCGACGCATATACGCGTAACAAGTATATTTTTTAATTTTAGTATAAGGATGACAAGAGACCACACAGTCCACCTGATGGTAAGTGGATGGTGTTGCAAAATGCAGATGAGTTGTCACTCGTGAGGACTAAGATAGAATGCCTCATTTCCAGTAAAAAGGGTCTCCGGTTCTCTACACTCACCATACGAAACACATCGGCATTAAACTGTCATTTTACGCTGGTAATCTGCGAGAGAGTGGTCCTTTCCCGGTCGAGCCGACCCATTCGTGCTACAACTATACAATTAATATAGCTGCAGCATAGCTTTACCACGTGTAAAATGACACTTAAAATATGACAAAAAACACATCTTACGCATAAATGAAGTTCTGTCTTCTGTAACAGTATAACATTACATAGATCGCATTCTCCCGGATTCGAACCCCGGGTCGCGCGCAAAATTATACTAGAATTATTTTGTCCCTGCAGTTTGGGTCACAAATCATCGGAGTACATCGCTCTCTCTCCCAGTCACGGGCCTTAGGGGCGAGCATAATGATGCGCATTATTGTTGTCGATAAGCGTTATCGATAGTGTATTTAGTTTTTTCATTATGTGGTTTAGTGATAAAAATTAAAAAAAAAAGATAAAACAACGTATTTATTAAAATAAGAATAATAATGATATAAAATAAATTATTAATTAGGTATATATGTATTAAAAAAAACTATAAGTACTAATGTTTGGAATGTAACAAGTTATATTAAAAATAAATATAAATATAAAGATAATAACTTATATCTAAAATTAAATCTAAAACTATTTACATTAAAATTCTACATCAGAATCATCAGTCATCGTCATCCACATGAATTACGATATTTTCTGCCAGGTGAGATTTCTTCAAGACTTCCTCTTGGAGTTTCTCTGCATGCTGCACACAATCTTCCAGTTATTTTGCTAAAACGTTTGAAATTGCTTGATGCAGTAACACTTCGACGTCTACAATTTTAAAAGTGCTGTTTTTGGTGGCAACTTCATTTTCATTTCATTTCGATATATGTACTAAATTATCATTGCACTAATTTGCAGGTATTAGGCGGGGGTAATAATGGAAAACAAATGGCTCATAACATAACAATGTCGCATCAGCCTTTGTATACCGCACCGCCGCCGTGTACCTGCCTTCGATGATTCATTTGTTGTTATCGATAATGTCGTTGCGCCCGCGCAACATGCTCACCGCCCTAGCCAGGCTGAGGCCGAGCTATGATTTATGACCCCAACTGCACGGACAAAATAATTTTACTATAGTTACAAAATTTTTATATCGAGAAATTCTGCTAATCACCACTTACCACCAGGTGGGATTGTAGGCAAGCACTGGCTTTTAATAAGTAAAAAAGTTGTGCGTGTAATTGTGTACACACGTACGAAGTGAAACGGTGAAACGTTACAAGAAAACGTGAAGTTTGTTTTTAGTGCCGTACTAAATATTTCCACTACTTCGATAGACTCACTTAAAAAAAATGAGTATTATTCGTGTAAATATAAAAAATCGTTACTGGAAGACATTATTGATAAATACATCACCTGCAATAGTATAGGAATAGCAGTTTCCCCGCACTTTGCCAACGCCTCGGGTGTGTGCTGTGCGCCGGCGCCAGCGAGCGCGAGTGCGTACAGCGCGCGGCACAGTGCGCGCCGCTCGCACGGAGTCAGCGCTCGGCCAAGTGCTGTAGGCAAAGTGGGCCACTGTACCAGCGGGATATCCGGTCAAATAAAACTAACATAGAAGGGTGTACTGTACCGTGCCGCCCCATATCATCGCGTGGGTGTCGTAAGAGGCGACAGATGGGAAACAAATCAGGAGGTGGGTAGCAATGTTTTCCTAATAACGACTAAAAATAAAAACTGTGGTTGCCAGCTCGCTTGACAAGCGTGGGAACTATGGCAAATATCCCCCCTATGAAGCAATTTAAGGTGGAGGCCTACTATATTCAGCGGTGGACTCTAATAGGCTGTAATGGATGGATGTATAGAAGATAATCTACCAGGAGCACATGACCCACTGAGAGGTGAAATTTTCAAATCAACAGTAACATTACAACTATGACAAATATCCCCCCTATGAGGCAATCTGTGGGGGAGGCCTAGGTTCAGCAGTGGACTTTAATAGGCTGTAATGGATGGATGTATAGAAGATAATCTACCAGGAGCACATGACCCACTGAGAGGTGAAATTTTCAAATCAACAGTAACATTACGACTATGACAAATATCCCCCTATGAGGCAATCTGTGGGGGAGGCCTAGGTTCAGCAGTGGACTTTAATAGACTGTAATGGATGGATGTATAGAAGATAATCTACCAGGAGCACATGACCCACTGAGAGGTGAAATTTTCAAATCAACAGTAACATTACAACTATGGCTAATATCCCCCCTATGAGGCAATCTGTGGGGGAGGCCTAGGTTCAGCAGTAGACTTTAATAGGCTGTAATGGATGGATGTATAGAAGATAATCTACCAGGAGCACATGACCCACTGAGAGGTGAAATTTTCAAATCAACAGTAACATTACAACTATGACAAATATCCCCCCTATGAGGCAATCTGTGGGGGAGGCCTAGGTTCAGCAGTGGACTTTAATAGGCTGTAATGGATGGATGTATAGAAGATAATCTACCAGGAGCACATGACCCACTGAGAGGTGAAATTTTCAAATCAACAGTAACATTACGACTATGACAAATATCCCCCTATGAGGCAATCTGTGGGGGAGGCCTAGGTTCAGCAGTGGACTTTAATAGACTGTAATGGATGGATGTATAGAAGATAATCTACCAGGAGCACATGACCCACTGAGAGGTGAAATTTTCAAATCAACAGTAACATTACAACTATGGCTAATATCCCCCCTATGAGGCAATCTGTGGGGGAGGCCTAGGTTCAGCAGTAGACTTTAATAGGCTGTAATGGATGGATGTATAGAAGATAATCTACCAGGAGCACATGACCCACTGAGGTGAAATTTTCAAATCAACAGTAACATTACAACTATGACAAATATCCCCCCATATGAGGCAATTTAAGGTGGAGGCGCATGTTCAGCAGTGGACTTTAACATGCTGTAATGATAAAAATACACAAGTAGTGGCACTCACCATTGGCACACAGGATCTCTATCAGGACACGTAACGCCTTGGGGTCCTCGTATTTAAGAGCCAGCCAAAGAATGCTCTGTAGGTTCACCTGTAAGTACACTTGCAATTTTATACAAAAGTAACAAACAAATACAGACACATGATAATTATAAAAAATAGGTGGATGGTATGGCCCTACATCCAATCCTCGATTAAGTATGAAAATGCAGATAACTATTATATATATATAAATTTTTACATGGCAGATCCAAGCTACAGCTATATTTATAGTATAGTTGCAGCACGAATGGGTCGGCTCGACTGGGGAAGGACCACACTCTCACAGAATACCAGCGTAAATAGCAGCTTAATGCTGCTGTATTTCATATGGTTAGTGTAGAGAACCGGAGACCTGTTTTACTGGAAAAGAGACATTCTATCTTATATAGTCTTTATAGTCCTCACGGCTGACAACGCGTCTGCATTTTAATTCGCAAAAGAAGATAGATGTAGATGTCTATGGGCCACAGCAACCACTTACCATAAGGTTTATTGTGTGCTCGTTTATCAACCCTAATTCTATAATATACCATCAGGGCCACCCGACGATCTCGGTTTTAGCCGCCCTTACTGCTTCCTCCAGCTTGGTATCGTGAACAGTATTTATGGTTATACAGGTGATATTTGACTATCTGCGGCACGTATACCACATCAACATGGTCCAGTACAGGTACCCCGTCCTGATACACCGAACTAAAATAATCTGCAAAAGCGTCGGCTGCGGATTGCCCAACAACTTCGACACCACCGCACGAATAAACGTTCGTACGCTGCCTGTGATTCTTCTTATCCTTAACGTATTCCCAGAATTTGGCTAGATCGTTAATTATATTTAGTTTTTTCAGATGTAAGTGCTGCTTATATGCATTGTCAATCAAGTTTTTAATACGCCACCTATAGTATTTAAAATTGAACTCTTTACCTTCAGCATTATACCGTTCCAAATGATAATATTTTATACGTACATTACTTATAATTTCAGCATTAAATCATTTTGGATATACATACTTATAATTCGGCATGTAACGGGATTTAGTTGGAACATATTGACTGATACAATTATAAAGATGCAGATTTACGTCTCACTTGTGTCCAATCTTCCGGGTCTTTTTGCTCCGCGCCATCGCCAGGCGCAAGAACTGCCTCATGGCTCACACTCAAAATTGAAGTGTCGGGATCAGAGACTAAAGTTGAAACTGGTTCTAAAGTCTCGTTTCTGTCGGGTCTGGGTTTTTTTCTATGGGGCGTGACCGTACTTCTTTGACGTTTGTTTTCGATAATTGTGACAGTTTGCATCGGAAACTTCACGAGAGCTCTGAGGCTGGCGAAAACTTTTCGAATATTGATGATTAGAAGAGATAAATAAACCCTTTTAATTATAAGGTAGGTAACAAAAATTAATTACAATTATCTATAAGACGTATTTTCATATAATTACTTCAATATTTGCACTTAATCGTAAAGCTGAATTTTTGTGAAAGGTGTGTTTTTATAAGTTTTCTATCACAAAGCTATATATATATATATATATATATATATATATATATATATATATATATATATATATATATATATATATATGCTGCTTTGTGAAACGAGACATATCTCAGTTTTTTTTTTTGTTATTTATTATATAGTTAAATTATATATTTTTTATATTCGATATCAATGGCTAACACCAAAATATTGCATTATGTTTTTGTTCAGGCGTTACTCTAAAAAAATACAAAAGCCTATTTATCTACAAAATTCGTAAATGCATGTAACTAAATGACGATACAATAGTTATGGGATGTATCTAAGTGACCTTTATCCGAACGTTAAATGTGAATAGCGTTTATTGGTTTTGGTGCGAGAAGTTATCGAATCCGAGTCGATTTCGCTTTCCGAGACGATTGTGAATAGCCCGGCTGGTGGTAAGTGCATAGCATTCTAGTCTTATAGTCAAAGACTAGAATGCTACTCAATTTTAAGATGTAGATTGTAAGCATTAAGCTGCTATTTTACGCCGGTATTCTGTGAGAGCGTAGTCCTTTCCTGGTCGAGCCGACCCATTCGTGCTACAACCACAATTTAGCTGCAGCGTGTAAAATTACAAATTACCACATGAAATTACATTTAGTACTGCCATCTTGATTTCAACATGTGACTTTAAGAAGCAGGTTAACTAACCAGAAAAATAGACAATCGTTTGTAGTTTTTTTTTTACCTTATCCGTAATCCCTTCCCTGGGATCGGGAATGGCCAGCATCAAGGAGCTTTTGAGATGGGCGATCACTTCATCGTCAGAATTATTGTTCACGTCACTTCCGGTTCCGTATTTACCTGAAACAGAAGCCAGAGACATGGGCCTGTTTAGACTGAAGTAGTTAGACTTAGTCGACCTATATTTAATTAGTGGCATGGTTAATCTATAACCGAATGTTTCACGAAAGGAGTCCCGTGGATTATGCGGACTAAAATGTAATGTTGGTGTGGAGTTTGGCAGCAAATTTCAAGCACATTTGCTGATGCCGAGGTTCCGGGTTCGAATCATGAGTCTAGCCGAAACCAGTTAATGAGTTTTTTCGTCAAGAAATTCTCAGTAGTCTGAAATTGGCGGTGTTTCACTCTCGTGCCGTGATAAAGTTTTTAAAAAGGGAAAACCAAGTGGTAAAATTAAAAGTTCTGTACAACCGACTACAATATACATTATTAAGGATAACTCAAAAACTACTTTGATCAAATTTATATGACACCACATGAGAAGCACCAGCTTTCAAATAAAAAATAATGATCAAAATCGGTTCACCTAGAAAAAAAGTTATGATGTAACACATAAAAAATACAGTCGAATTGAGAACCTCCTCCTTTTTGAAGTCGTTAAAAATGGTAAAAAAAATTTATAGCATAAGGATGACAAAGGAGTACACAGTCCACCTGATGGTAGGTGGTCGCTGTTTCCAATAGACATCTACATCTATCTTCGTTTGCGAATCAAAATGCAGATGCGTTGTCACCCGTGAGGACTAAGATAGAATGCCACTTTTCCAGTAAAATGGGTCTCCGGTTCTTTACACTCACCATACGAAACACAGCAGCATTAAGCTGCTATTTTACGCTGGTATTCTGTGAGAGCGTGGTCCTTCCCCGGTCGAGCCGACCCATTCGTGTTACAACTATACCAGAAATATAGCTGCAGCATGGCTCTACCACATATAAAAAAATAGGTAAATTATCTGAGTTTCAAAGACGTTCACGTTATAATCTTAATTTTTCTCGATGCTGCATACTCCTACGCCTGATCTCTCTCCGGTCGTATCGGATAGCCGTTCCATCGGACTATGAGAGTGAGGCAATAGAGAGTGCACCTGTGCTTGTGCACACACTCGTGCAGTATTATCCTGTCCTGTGCAGATGACCAATCTCTATTAAGACTGGCCGCTGCATCATAATTATATAAAATTAAAAAACTAATAAATGAACCTATATAACTTAACCAGATTAAGATGACTGGCAAAATATGACATTTGCGTTCTGAAACTACGTAATTTGACGTAATGAAGGCATCCACGACATTTTCCACCACCAGGACGGCGCCACTTAAAAGTGTGGTATAATATTTGAACGATTTCGTAAAGTTTAATGTTTCTTTCTGCACTATCAGCAATATTTTGTATTAATAATGTTACGAGCTTGAGGTTCGAGAAAATTAAAAACTGCCGATTGAATTACCAAAATTGACATTTTATTTACACAACACTAATTACAATCTAAAACCACACTAATTATAAAACACAATCACTTTAGTTCGCAGTTATTTCGCTTCGAAGTATTCTCTTGTATCGCCAATTCATTACTGCCTTCGTCGTGGTCTATACCAGCCTTATATAGGGCCTCAGATAGTTTCCAGAACCTTCTACTGTAGCCACATCTAGAATGTTCGTGTACATATCGGTCCCGAAATTTCTGGAAGGATCTTGACTCTCATAGTTCTGCTACTCGACACTAGAGGGCGCTAGTGTAACTAGTGTTGCCAAGTACAAGACATTAATAGTGGCGCGCAACACTGCACCCTCCTAAGACATGCTCGTCCCGAGCATTATTGACCCCATAATAACGCGCCAGTCAATCCACATGGACAATCTTAGGAATACCTCTTTTAACAACAGTCAGCACCCGCCAATTTTCCTGCTGCTGCTGGGCTGTGCTGTTAGCCAGACTACATTCTCGAGATCGATCACCTTTTCTACAGTTCGTTTAGGGCAGCTGGATCGAAGACGGCCCCTTTTCCCACAGCCGTAACACCTAGGGCTGTATTTTTTATTGCGGTCGCAAACTGTAGCCGCTGCAACCTCCATGACGCGATAGGAACGATTATCATGCCGCACGTCTTCCACCTCCAGTGCATGGGCAAACGCGTCCTTAAGCGTCTCGTGGTGCCCGAGCCTCACAGCAGCTCTGACTTCAAGGTCGCGGATGCCGTCGATGAATGTCTACACCAGGTTCCATACAATGACCGCAGGTGCAGAATGGTATGCTTTTCGAACCAGCTTCCCCACCTCAAGGGCCCACTGCTGCAGGTTTTCGTTGCTGCGTTGCACGCGATCGTTGAGTTGCGCACGAAAGACGTGTTCCAGGTGAGTGTCGCCATATCTCGACTCTAATGCCTCAAGGAGCTGCCCGTAAGTCACTTCCTTACCGAGAGCTTCTAGAACAGTTAAGGCTTGGTCGCGTAGACCTAGGGTGAGAGCAGTCATGGCCTGACTTTTATTTCAGCCGTTCGCTTTCATAACAGCCTCGAACTGGATTTTGTAGGCCGACCACGAAGAAGTCCCGTCGAACGGCGGCACTTTGAATAATCCACCTAGCGAAGGTGTTGTAGCTACCACGGGAGCTGTAATTCCATCTCCATGTTTGAGGACGTCCAGCGTTTTCTTCACGTCAGCCATTACGTTGTCAACCCGATTGTACACTTGGTCGATTCGGGTTTCAGCTTCCGACAGGCGGTTGTCATATTAAGCAACCCTATCCTTCAAATCCTTTATCTATTTACCGAAGGTAGCGTAAAGGTCCTTCATGAGGAGCATCTGCTCTTCCTTATAGCGTTTGAGCTGCTCTTCCAACCGACGGCCCTGTTCCTCCTGTCGGCGGGCCTGTTCCTCCTGTTGGCGGGCCTGTTCCTCCTGTAGGCGGTGCAGCTGCTCTTCCAACCGACGGGCCTATTCCTCCTGTCGGCGAGCCTGTTCCTGCAGCATCATCATCAGGGCACCTAATTCAGATGCTGTAGATGCAGGAGCTGATGACGGACCGGCCTCCGTGGTCAGCAGCTGGCCCTCCGATGTTTGCGGCGTTACCAAATCGTCTCTGGTCCGTCTCCAGCTGGCGTTGACTTCGGGTACGGATACCCTCCATGTCGTCCTTTGGTAAAATCTGCATAATTTAATCCCACTTCTGACACCAATTGTTACGAGCTTGAGGTTCGAGAAAATTAAAAACTGCCGATTGAATTACCAAAATTGACATTTTAATTACACAACACTAATTACAATCTAAAACCACACTAATTATAAAACACAATCACTTTAGTTCGCAGTTATTTCGCTTCGAAGTATTCTCTTGTATCGCCAATTCATTACTGCCTTCGTCGTGGTCTATACCAGCCTTATATAGGGCCTCAGATAGTTTCCAGAACCTTCTACTGTAGCCACATCTAGAATGTTCGAGTACATATCGGTCCCGAAATTTCTGGAAGGATCTTGACTCTCATAGTTCTGCTACTCGACACTAGAGGGCGCTAGTGTAACTAGTGTTGCCAAGTACAAGACATTAATAGTGGCGCGCAACAATAAGAATAAAAATAAGTAAACCAAACTACAGATATCCATAAAAGTAGAAATTTAAAAAACAATGTGTTACTAATTAACGAGCAAACCACTGAGGCATTGTTTTCTGTATTAATTTATTACTATCTAAACTAATAATCTTTTATTAAAAACTAACTTCTCAATTAAATGACATTGTGTAACAAAAAACTTTACTTGTGTCAACAAGCGACATCTGGTGAGCAGAAAGATGATAACACTTCGTATTCTTTTCCTCTTCAAAATAAGATAATTTTTGTGATGGTGACACGTGTGAAATTTTATAGAACACTAGCTGGTACCCGACGCGTTGCAGCCGCAGAAGAAATAATTGTGGAAATATTGTTTTAAATTTTATAAGAGTTCTATAGTTTAATTAATGTATAATTGGAGTTGAATAATCTATAACTTTAATAAATCTGTCGGTACAATACTCCACCTACTGTGAATTAATTGTACTATGCCTATAACCTTCGTGGAAGAGCAAGCAATAAGTTGACAAAGTTCTGGCGCAATCTGATGAACTTGCGGCGCATAAAATACGAACAAACAGACATACAATTTTACAGATGTCACCACGCATGATCTTATCACATTTTATAAAACACATTTTCCGACACATACTTTATTTATCAAAACAAACCGATTAACCGTTACAGCCTATTAAAAGTCCACTGCTGAACATAGGCCTCCCCATAGATTGCTTCATAGGAAAGATATTTGCCATAGTCGTAATGTTACTGTTGATTTGAAAATTTCACCTCTCAGTGGGTCATGTGCTCCTGGTAGATTATCTTCTATACATCCATCCATTACTGCCTATTGCCCACTACTGAACATAGGCCTCCACCAAGGAACGCCACAAAGCTCGGCCCTGAGCCACCTGCATTCATGACTTCCTTCATGTCTCACCAGGTCATCAGTCCATCTAGTGGGGGGGGGGGGGGGGGGGGCACACTTTGCGTACCGGTACGAGGCTGCCACTCGAGAACCTTTCTTCCCCATTGTCGGTTCTTCATGATATGAAGCCTTAATATTTATACATAGATTGCCCTAAAATATATAGATTGACATAACAAACAAATTGTTCAACAATTCAATGATTGTGTGATTTTTCATTGCGCACTAAGTTACGGTAAATTCTCCGTAACTCCTTTAGTCGATTGCGAGCGGGCAAGAAGACTAGTACTTTGTCAACCAACTTCAAAAAAAGAAGAAGGTTCTCGATACCACTGTATTTTTTGTGTGTTACCTCAGAACTTTTTCTGGGTGAACCGATTTTGATGAATCTTTTTTTTATTTGAAATCTGCTCATGTGGTCCTATATAAATTTTATCAAGATCTTACCAGTAGTTTTTGAGTTATTTTCATTTCTCATTTATTATTCATTTGACTTCGATTACACTGATGATGTTCTCATTAATATTGAAGTCGGTTGTACGATTTTTTTTTAATTTTACCACTGTGTTAAATATTGTGGTTAAAAAGTTGAAGTGAAAAAAGAAATTTGACATTATCTATGAAACGCATCAATAATCTATGTCGTGAAAACATTGAGAAAAACATTTTGGAAACATTTTGTGTAATTTCCAATTTCCGTTCCAATTTCCGCTCTCTTCTATTAAAGAAACAAGACGAGCAGCCGGTGTTTTATTTTGGTGTCAAGATCCGGTGATATTTCGTATTTGCCTAAAAACAGTGACTGTCGTAAATGGAAATACAACTGCGTGGGATATTCACCGTGCCAGCTACGCGTCCGCACTACAACAGCTGAAACACAGTTTTTGTTCTGAATTGCGGGTCTTGTAGCATACATGGAAGTTCAAACAAATGAGTGTGTTACCTAAGAACATTAACACATCCCTGCGTAGTGATCTGCCTTCTTTCACCTTCACATCTATCCGATGGTACATCCTCTCCACTAGGTTAATAGCCTATAATAAAATAGAATAAAAGATTATTTAGAAAAAAGGCACAGCCTGTATACGTTCCACAGCCAGGCTCTCTCTCTCTCTGTCTCTCTCTCTCACCTCTCATTTCTGAGAGGCTTGTAAAGAAGGGAAAAGTCTGCCGTACAGTCCTTATAGATATTAGCAGATTTTTTATATGGAGTTACTACAACATACCGTGTAGTGGCGGTGTAAGAATATCCACTACTCCATATCATCCCGTGGGTGTCGTAAGAGACGATAGAGGGAAAATGAAACAGAATATAGGCAGCAGCATTTTCCTCATAACAACTCAAAATAATAAAAAAAACTGCGGTATTCAACCTGTTTGCCAAGCGTGGCAAAATCCCCCATAAGGCAAAAACTATAAGGGAGGCCTATGTTCAGCAGTGGACTTTAATAGGCTGTAATGGATGGATATATAGAAGATAATCTACCAGGAGCACATGACCCACTGAGAGGTGAAATTTTCAAATCAACAGTAACATTACAACTGTGGCAAATACCAATGAGGCAATCTATGGGGAAGGCCTATGTTCAGCAGCGGACTCTAAGGCTATGCGTCCACTAGGCTCGCCGAGCCGAGTCGAATCGAATCGCAGAAAGTCGCCTCCTATGTATTTACTATGAAACTGCGTCCATTAGCGACGAGCCGCGGCGCCCCGAATTGAATCGACCGCGCGAATAGCTTGACAGGCGAATTTCTTCGCCGATGCTATTCGATTCAACTAGGCACGCCTCAGTCGACGCGGAGAAGTGGATGCATGCCGGCGTATTTTAATTAATTTCTATTTCGTTTTCGTAAAAATGTTTTTTGTTTAAATAAAAATGAATAAAGAACTATTGATATCACTGGTCCTTCAATATCCAAAATTGTTTAATCATGATGATCCACATTATCACGATGAAATAAAAACATCTCTTCATCAGAGCTGTCCATGACGCAAAAACGACCTATTTTGATGAAGAATTTGCGATGAATGAACAATTCGATTCGATTCGTCAGAGATGGACGCACTAGGAATAAATGCGACTCGCTTCGACTCGACGCATTTCTGTTGTAGTTGACGCCAGGCTTTAATTGATGGAAGTATAGAAGATAATCTACCAAGAGCACATGACCCACTGAGAGGTAAAATTTTCAAATCAACAGTAACCATTACAATTATGGCAAATACCAATGAGGCAATCTATGGGGGAGGCCTATGTTGCAGTGAGCCTTAATAGGCTGTAATGGATGGATGTATAGAAGATAATCTACCAGGAGCACATGACCCACTGAGAGGTGAAATTTTCAAATCAACAGTAACATTACAACTATGGCAAATATCCCTCTATGGGGCAATCTATGGGGGAGGCCTATGTTGCAGTGAGCCTTAACAGGCTGTAATGGATGGATGTATAGAAGATAATCTACTAGGAGCACATGACCCACTGAGAGGTGAAATTTTCAAATAAACAGTAACATTACAACCATGGCAAATACCAATGAGGCAATCGGGGAGGCCTATGTTCAGCAGTGGAGTATCAAATAAATATGCATCGGCTCAAGATGAGATAAAAGAACACATATTGGCCATGAATGATCTGGTAAAATCATGTAAATATAATGAGGAGCGCTTTGACTCCTTAATAAAAAATCAGAGTGAGTATCAGCGCTCCATACAAGGTTCATCGGGGACAATATGTGTAAATAACAAAGTTAATAGTAAGACCTCATTATTTTCACCTACACTCTATGACAGTGCCATGACAAAGGATATAAACTTAAAAAGCAATGTAAATATTTAAAAAAAATAAAGTTATTATGTATTGTGATGACATAGGCAAAAATTTGGGCATGATGTTAAATAACTGTTTAAAAGGACATCTGATCAGTAATTATTGCATGCCTGGAGCATCCTTTAGTCATATAATGAATAAAGTTTAGCTAGTAAATTTTGTCCTAATAGCACATTAATAATTCTTGTTGGGAGAAGATGCAATGTAAACAAAAATCAATTATTAAAATATATTGATAATCTAAATACTTTAAATGTACATAAAATTATCTTGTTTACATTGCCTTACATAGAGAGTTGGCCGCAGGAAAATAAAATAAGATATGATTTAAATTTATTAATGAATAACTTTTCATGTAATAATAATTTAAACTTGACATTTAATTGTTACAATTATAATGATAGAATTAATTTAATAGATATAAATAATTTAATTAAGAAATTTTTGACTAGAGGTAGGTATTACCTATCAAAATATAATTTAAGACAGATAGCAAATGTGCTATCTTATTATTTATATATTAACTCAGCCAAGGACTTGGCTACACAGACATCTGCTTCTTTTGAGCAGTGTAATGACTTAATATGCAATTTGGAATCAGTTCCAAGTAATTTAAATTAGAAAATGCGACAATAGAGGTAATCTCTAGCAGTTATAATAACTTAAATAATTTAGAACGTGGCTTACAAATCTTTAATTGTATGACTACACAGAAAGATAATGAAAATTGTTTACACCTGGTGCATCAAAATATACAAGGCATGATAGGCAAAGAGCTAGAAATTGAGTTGTTTTTAAATAGCAACAATATTCATATTTTATGTATTAGTGAACATTGGTTAAAAGCTTATAATTTAATGTTTAACTTCAGTAATCACCAGGTGGTCAGTTCTTTCAATAGAGATGCGGTTTTGAGAGGTGGCCCCTATATTAGCTAGTAAATTATTATCATGTAAAGAACTTGAAGAACTACAGACCGATTTCCCTTCTGAGCCGCGTTTACGTGCTGTTTTCGAGAGTCATTACGAATCGTCTCGCGCGCAGACTTTACGACTTCCAGCCTACCGAACAAGCCGGTTTCCGAAAGGGCTTTAGCACCATAGACCACATACATACCCTTCGGCAAGTTGTACAGAAGTCCGAAGAGTACAATTTGCCACTATGTCTGGCGTATGTGGACTATGAGAAAGCCTTTGATTCCGTCGAAATTTGGGCGGTGCTGCAGTCCCTTCAGCGGTGCCAAGTTGACTGTCGGTATATCGAAGTGTTGAAGTGCTTGTACAGTAGGGCTACGATGGCTATCCGAGTACAGAACCAGAGTACGAAACCTATCCAATTGCAGAGAGGTGTAAGACAGGGTGACGTCGTATCCCCGAAACTCTTCACCGCTGCATTGGAAGACGTTTTCAAGCTTCTGGACTGGAAATGATACGGTATCAACATCAATGGCGAGTACATCACTCACCTTCGAGTTGCCGACGATATAGTCCTTATGGCAGAATCGCTGGAGGACCTAAGCACTATGCTCAATGACCTCAATAGTGTTTCCCAACGGATAGGTCTTAAGATGAACATGGACAAAACAAAGATCATGTTTAATGTCCATGTCACACCTATGCCGGTAGTTGTTGGGAGCACTAAGCTCGAAGTTGTTGACGAGTATGTTTACCTGGGACAAATAGTCCGACTAGGTAAGTCCAACTTCGACCGAGAGGTCAATCGACGGATTCAACTCGGCTGGGCAGCGTTCGGGAAGCTACGACACATCTTCTCGTCAGACATACCTCAAAACCTTAAAACGAAATTGTACAACCAGTGCGTGTTGCCAGTGATGACTTACGGAACTGAGACATGGTCCTTCACTGCTGGCCGTATGAGGAAGCTCAAGGTCGCTCAGCGAGCTATGGAGAGGGCTATGCTCGGAGTTTCTCTGCGTGATAAACTTAGGAATGCGGATATCCGCAGTAGAACCAGAGTGACCGACATAGCCCAACGGATTAGTAAGCTGAAGTGGCAGTGGGCCGGCCATATAGCTCGAAGAACCGACAACCGATGGGGAAGAAAGGTTCTCGAGTGGCAGCCTCGTACCGGTAGGCGAAGTGTAGGGCGTCCCCCCACGAGATGGAGTGACGACCTGGTAAGACATGCAGGAAGTCGATGGATGCAGGTGGCTCAGGACCGTGCTTTGTGGCATTCTTTGGGGGAGGCCTATATTCAGCAGTGGACTTGTGAAGGGCTGTAATGATGATGATGATGATGAAAGAACTTAAAGACATTGTGAACCTCTCTGTTGAGCGAACTGTAGAAATGGCATGTGTTGAGTTTGAGCACCTCATTGTTGTGAGCGTCTACAGACCCCCATGTTGTACATATGATACTTTTGAAAACATTATGGAGGAAGTTTTTGCTAAGCTTAATAAACAGAATAAATCTGTTGTAATATGGGGAGACTTTAATATCAATCTCCTAGAAGCTTCCTCCATCAATATTAAATTTAGATCATTGTTTAAATCATATGGTCTTTTTAATTTATTTACGTTGGCTCTACGCGTATTTCTCAATCTAGTGCAACATGTATAGATAACATTTTTACAAATGTGAAGCCGTTGCATAAATGTATAATTCAAAAATTAAGTTCTTAACACTGTGGACAAGTAGTTTCGTTACCTTATGTCCACAAAAAGCAAGTAGATGAGAAAGTTGTGTCTGTTCCAGTAAATGCTCGACGCTTGGAGAAATTTAGAAGTAACATAGTGAAAAAACTTCCGTCACTTTCATACCAAAATGATCCTAATTTTTTGTATGGTATTCTTAAATAATGTATTTAAGCTTATTTGCAATGAATTTAATAATACTTTTACTTCTAAAACATTCTCCTTGAACAGTCGGAAGTCATTCAATGAATGGGCGACAGTAGGAGTCCATAGGAGCAGACATAGGTTATATGATCTTTACCATGAAAGGTCATATAATCATAGCGTCGAATTTAGGGAATATGTAAAAAAATATTCAAAAATATTTAAAAGAGTGTGCTCCATAGCCAAGTCTTTGCATTTGAGCAACAAAATTAAGACGGCTTCCAATAAAATTAAAATGACATGGAGTATAATTAATAGCGAAACTGGTAAGATCAACTTTCGCAATTCAAATTACCAGTTAAGTGTTAACAACAAATTAACTGTATCAGATCAGGAAGTAGCAATGGTTTTTGAGAAATATTTTACTGATATTCCGATCTTGACCACTAAGTCACATAATTCTCCTGCCGTCGCCGAATCATTACTTAAACAAAATGTAAATGCGTGTACAAAGAATTTTACATTTCACAAAGTGTCATCAAAAGATATTGTAAAATATTTTAAAACTATTGATGTTAAGAAAACTGCGGATCTGTGGGGGATTTCCGTTAAAGTTATTGCGTCTATAATAGATACAATCGCGCCTCATTTAGCTATTATTTTTAATACTAGTATCGAATCTGGTGTGTATCCTGATTTAATGAAGCATAGTAAAGTAATACCTTTATTTAAATCTGGTAGAACATTAGACCCCGCCAATTTTAGACCTATTTCTGTACTACCAACACTTCGTAAGATTTAAAAAAAAATTGTTCTTGATCAAATGTTAAATTTTTTTAATACAAATAATTTACTTCATAAAGATCAATTTGGTTTCACAAGGGGTCACTCGACAACTGATGCCGGTGTTGAGCTGATTAAATATATCTTTAATGCATGGGAGAATTTACAGGATGCTTTGGGTATATTTTGTGACCTATACAAGGCCTTCGATTGTGTTCACCATGAAACATTAATCGGGAAACTTCAACACTACGGTGTAAGAAGTGATGCTCTTAAATTAATTATTTCATATTTAAGTAATAGAATGCAAAAAGTTGTCATTAACAATATGAGATCTTCCGGATTGATGGTACAAATGGGTGTGCCTCAAGGCTCAATTCTCGGCCCCTTTCTGTTTCTTGTATACATTAATGACTTACCTTACATAGTAGGGGATAACCATGATATAGTATTATTTGCAGATGATACTTCTTTAATTTTTAAATTAAGTCGACAATTAATAAAATATGACGAAGTAAATAATGCTATATCTAAATTAGTAAATTGGTTCAATGTTAATAATTTGCATTTAAATGGCACTAAAACGGAATGTATGAAATTCATGACTCCAAATGTCAAACAATTAAATACTAATGTAATTTTAAATGGGGAGAAACTGAGTCTTGTAGATACCACCATTTTTCTTGGAATCACACTAGACGCGAAGCTTCAATGGAGCCCCCATATATCAAAACTAGCAAGCAGACTTAGTTCTGCAGCATATGCCGTAAAAAAGATTAGAAATCTAACCAGTGTTGAAACAGCTATACTAGTTTACTTCAGCTACTTCCATAGCATAATGTCGTATGGTATTTTGCTATGGGGACACGCAGCTGACACTGAAATTATATTTGTTTTACAGAAGAGGGCCATAACAGCAATTTATGATTTAAAGCCTAAGAGTCGCTGCGACAAAAATTTAAGGAAATTAATATATTAACTTTGGCCTCTCAATACATTTATGAAAATGTAATGTACGTACACAAAAATAAAACAAGTTTAGTTTTACAAAAATAAGTGATATTCATTCTGTAAATACTAGGAACAGACACAAGCTAGTAGTACCAGTTACTCGACTCCATCGAGTCAGTAATTCATTCTTGGGGCGATGTATACGCTTTTACAACAAAATTCCAGAAAATATACAAAGTTTGACCTGCTCAAAGTTCAAAAACTTTATTAAACTAAGTTTGTATAAAAAGGTTTATTATAATATTAAGGAATTTGTGGATGATAATAACCCCTGGAAATGAGGTGATCGCTACCAAGCTATTTCTAATTTGTTGTGTTGTTAATTTGTGTAACATCATGATTGTAAGCTGTTATTTAAAAAAAAGTCCCGCTGGGTTTCTTGCTGGTTCTTCCCAGGACAGAGGTTTTTTCCGAACCAGTGGTAATCAAACAAAAGAGTGACTTTCAATAAGTATTATTTATAATCTATATTGAATAAAAAAGTTTCTGTTTCTGTTACTGACGTTTATAGGCTGTAATGGATGGAACTGCACCATATTCATTCATTCTTTACGGTCCATCATAAGTCCATTTCTGAACATAGGCCTGAACCCATAGACTGTCTCATACGGGAGATATTTGCCATAGTTCCGCACGTAGCAGACGCTTTGTAATTGCAGTTGTTTTTTATTATTTCAAACTAAGCAATAGATGCCGCGGCCTATCTTCTGTTTTAGTTTCCCTCTGTCACCTCTAACGACAGATGATATAAGTTTGTGGATTCACCACAAGTTTATACCCTTCTAACATGAGAGAAGGCGTGTGCCCATCACCTGGCGTAACTTAGATAAATTTATCCTATTTACCCCTTACTTACTAATGTCGTGGTAGCTCAGGGGTTAAGAAACTTTGGTTAAGAAATCGCCATTTTAATATTTTACTTCATTTTTCTTAGGACACTGAACAGCAATTTTTGACAATCATACTTAAAATATGTATACATTTAGCCAATATCAGAGTTACACAACATATAATAACACTTGTATAAAAGAGAGGTAAAATTTTGACTTAATATAATTTGAATAATTACTTCACAATAGGATTCTATATTTTGTTTTTGTTTTTCCGCCGATCTAAACAAAAAGAAAGCCATAACCGGGTTCAATCCCGAGAGTAATGAAATTGATATTTGCAATTTTAAGTGCTTATTTACCACTTCCTCGACGGTGAAGGAAAACATCGTAAGGAAACCTGCGTGTCAAAAAAAATTATCGAAAACGTGACGTCCGACCACGCATTGGGACAGAGCGTTGTAAACTTCCATAACCTAAAACCCTGTCAAAAATGTGAGGAGTCTTGTGCCGAGCTGCGGGACGTATAAAGGCTGTATTTCATCCTATTTATGAATGATAGCGCACGAATAAAAAAATAAATGTCAAAATATAGGCAAAAGTTTACTTAGTAGCACTGCTTTTCTACCTAGAAATCGTTCAGAACAAGTACCACCCTTTTACCTACATCTGCGCACTGGCGCACTCCGGTCTAAAGGGTTACAGGCTGTAAGGCATTCCATCTTAGTCCTCAAAGGTCACAACGTATGTATAGGAGTTAGTTGCAGGTGTTTATGGGCCGCAGTGGCCACTTACCACGAGGTCGACTGTATGTTTGTTTGTTACTTTAGTTATAAAGGGTTATTTTTCAAAGAGTAGCCAAATTTTAACCTTAAGTTCAAACATATAAATAATGATATACCGTTATTGCAGTTTTTGAAAATACGAGTAAATAAGGTTTCTACTTTTATTTGAAATTATCCCAAATTGAATGTGATTTATGGGCAACAATGTTTTTGCCTACCGGTCGACCCTTAAGAATGTGTGAGTGGGCAGTAAAATCAGTTAAAATAGTGCGTTACCATGCATTTTGAATTTAAAAGATAAAAAGGACAGAATGATTGAGATTTTTTAATACATTTTTATCTTTACTTAGTCTGAACCTTCTCTACAAATTTGAGCGGTTATTGCAAACTTACCCTGTATATTAAAAAATCTATAATAAACTTCATATCCTGTGGCTAACTTTATACCACTACCACCAAGTATGGATAGCAAAAAATCTACTAGCCCGCATAAAGTATGGATAGCAAAAAAGATCTGTCAAGATATTGCCCTTACGTCATTCAACTCCTTGTCATCCAGCTTCTCCCTCTGCGTCATGATGAGTGACTCCAACGTTCTTACAGAACGGGACAGCATGTCCGGTTCAACGTCTCTCCTCGCAAAGGTTATCTGAGATAGACAGTTTTGTGTGACACTTTTATCAAAACTATATGACAATTGTATAACGTGGTAGACTGCAGCTATATTATGGTTGTAGCAAGAATGGGTCGGCTCGATCGGGAAAGGAACACGCTATCACAGACTACCAGCGTAAAATAGCTGCTCAACACTGCTGTGTTTCGTATGGTGAGTGTAGAGAACCAGAGACCCTTTTTACTGGAAACGAGGCATTCCATCTTAGTACTGAGGAGTGAGAACGCATCTGCATTTTGATTCTTAATCGAGGAAAGATGTAGATGTCTATGGGTCAAAGCATTCACTTACCACCAGGTGGACTGTGTGCTCGTTTGTAACCCTTCCAACTTTTTAAATTTGTTATCTTTTTATAGTTGTAAAGTAGGTATGGAAAGTTACAGCCTGTACATTCCACTCCTGGGCAGAAGTCTCCTATGAGAGCAGGAATATGCGAGGAATAGTTTGTCAGTGTCTATCCGTCTATCAAATTACAATGTGGTTGTTACCATTACCATCAGGTACCATCAACCATTTATCATCAGGTTGGATAGTAATCAAACACAGACTTATAATAGTTAAAAAAAGAGGTCAGTTTGTCTAAACATTTAACCTACAAGCCTGTACTTGAGTAACCCCGCACCTGATAGTATGTGGTAATGTAACCAAAAATGACAAAGCACACTGGTTTACTTTAATTATAAAACCTTAAAAAAGTCGCGGGAGAGGGGGAGGGGGGAGAGGAAAGTCGGTATTGCGATTCGTCGCTGTCCTTACCTTCCGCACCCGAATCTTGGTTGGTGGCGGACCTATAGACCAGAACCAACGCTGGTGTTTCCGAGTGATCATTTTTCCTGGTCCCATGGTCTTCGCGGATCGGGCTTTTGGGGGGAGGGAGAGGTGGGGGGTACGTTGCGCAGGTTTTAGATGGAGAAATAAGGGAGAAGTAATCCTCAATCCAAGGTTGGGCTGCCAGCGCTGGTGGGGCGTTACTGTGGCTGTATGTATACACGACGAAGGGTGAAACACCATGAGGTATTCAACGGAACGTATGATCACTTTACGCATGCAGCTCAACATACCTGCAAAGCCGTTAGCAAACTAGGAATATCTCGGACCGATCCAACTGGCGTCAGTATCAAAGCCAAGCAGGACTCGTATAGATCGGCATCATTGTTACAATTATCTATTCGGACCGGCTGGAAATAAAAAAAAAACATTTAGCAGAATGGAAAATTACTTCTAACTTTTTTTATATACATATTCATATATCTGTGTTTATGGATAACCGTCTAGTGACGGTGTAAGTATATCCACTACTTCATGTCATCCCGTGAGTGTCGCAAGAGGCGACAGTGAAACTGAACAGGACGTGGACAGCACCAATGATATTATATACAAAAAGAGAACCAGATGTGTTATCTAACGAGTAGTGAAGACTCGAAAACGTCCTAATTGGGACATTTTGTCTTTAACCCGCGCCACGCAGGGCGACAAGACGCTGTATAGAAAATTTTATTAATATTTAAAATACCATCGTATGTATTTAAAAGTTGTACCAATTCATCATTATCATTACAGCCCTTCACAAGTCCACTGCTGAACATAGGCCTCGCCCAAGAAATGCCACAAAGCACGGTCCTGAGCCACTTGCATCCGTCGACTTTCTGCGTGTGTTACCAGGACGTCAGTCCATCTAGTGGGTGGATCGCCCTAAATTTTGCCTACCGATCCGAGGCTGCCAGTTGAGAGCCTTTTTCCCCCATCGGTTGTTGGTCCTTCGAGCTATATGGCCTGCCCATTGCCACTTCAGCTTACTAATCCGTTGGGCTATGTCAGTCACTCTAGTTCTACGGACCTAGTGGACGTTAGAAAAAAAAGAACGAGACGGCACATAAATTAGACGCGAGAACGATAAAGACGGGTACACTCCGAACATAGATGCGGTGATTGGTGGCCTGAGTAACGTTTGTTTACACTTACGTGAAAGTGACAAACTGTTCTTTTTTTAACCCTGAACGATTGAACCGTTCTTGATTAAGCTTTTTCGTTTGAAAGGTGCCTTAATCGAGAGTATATTTAAAAAGATAATCTTATAGTTGCAGCACGAATGGGTGTGCGTTGTTGTTATGTATATATGTTTCATATGTCATGTGTTCCATTTTACTGGAAAAGAGGCATTCCATTTTAGTACTCACGGGTGACGACGCATCTGCATTTTGATTCTTTATTGTGGATAAATGTAGATGTCTAGGCGTCACAGCAACCACTTACCATCAGGTGGACTGTGTGCTCGTTTGTCACCCTATCTTATAAAAAAAACAACATGTCTTTGAAATATATTTTTCTCTTATTTCTCAGACATGCATGTTTCCTCACGATGTTTTCCTTCACCGCCGATCACGTGGTAAATCAGCACTAAAAATTCTAACTAACAATTTCTTTGGTGTCGGCGGGGATCGAACCCGGGTATTGCCCGCGTACTGTGAAATTTGCAGCGAGCGCTAACCATCTGAGCTAGCATTAAATTATATACAAATAAATAAAATGAACTGTCACCGACAACTAACCTTTCTACGAGAACATTTCTATTACCTGAAACAGGTAAACGACGGCATGCAAGACATCGTATTAAATCGGACAAGATGATCTTGTTTTGCAAATTTCAATTTTGCATCGGCTTCATCGTCTACCGTCAATTCCATTTTTATAATATACGTTTAACGTCACTGCCAATAGAGAAATCAAAATATATGTACCCCCCACCCCTCCCCACTAGTGCTGCCTGTGGCGGATTTTTTTAAATTTTCAGAGAGAGACGCTAATTTTTAATCGCGAAGAGATGTAGATGTCTATGGGCACAGCATCGTCTTGCCATCACTTGAGGTGTGTGGTCGTGTATTAAATAATATGTACATTTATCGAACTAACATACTCTATGCTACGTTTCTATACTCTATGACTTTGTTGTGCTAAGTCTATATTAATATTAGTATATGACACAAACTGCAAGTCTACAGAATCATATCACGATACTTAAAATGACTCTACTTAAAACTCTCATGGATTGAAACATTGGGTTATTATATATTTCGTATATCCGTTACAATCCTACTTACCAAACGATCGTCGGAAATGACGTCATAGTCTCCCAAATACAATGCTATAGCGCGTATAGCACCGAAGACCGCGCTCACGGCAGAACTGCACACCACCCTCAAATCATGTAATAATTGTAGAGCGCGTAAGCAATGTTCCCTGTCCTCATCCACCATCTCCAATAGTGGGATTATTTGGGAACTGACTACGAGGACGTAGCGAAGCTTGTCTGGGAGTTCCTGGAAAATGGAAGAAACCACTAATTCTATGATGCCTCGTTGGTCTACCACAGCCACAACTATATAAAACAGTGAAGAAGATATCCATGGGCAGCAGTTACCGTCACCGTTACAGCATATTAAAGTCCACTGCTGAACATAGACCTTACCCATAGATTGCCTCATAGAACCGATGTATGCCATTGTTGTAATGTTACTGTTGATTTGAAAATATCACCTCTCAGTGGGTCATATGCTCCTGGTAGATTATCTTCTATACATCCATCCATTACAGCCTATTAAAGTCCACTGCTGAACGTAGGCCTCCCCCATAGATTGCCTCATGGAGGCGATATTTACCATAGTTGTAATGTTGCTGTTTATTTGAAAATTTCACCTATCAGTGCGTCATGTGCTCCTGGTACATTATCTTTTATACATCCATCCATTACAGCCTATTAAAGTGCACACTGCTGAACACAGGTCCCGCCTATAGATTATCTCATAGGGAGATATTTGGCATAGTTGCCATGATTTCCACGCTTGGTAAACGGGTTGGCAACCGCAATTCGCGACCCTTACAATTAGCGCTTAGAAGCGATCTCTACCAGGCAACAACACAGCCTACCTACCTCCGAATCGTTTCCAGCGTTCTCTAAAAAACACTCAAGATTGTACACCAAGTAATCCATAATGGCGTCAAGCACCAGGCAACAGCGCGTCATAACCACCGTGTCAGTGTAGTTCACCGTATCGAACAATGATCGCCATAAAGGCATATATTTGTTCAAATGTCCATTATCTTTGTAACTTTGGCATGTCTCATTAATGAGAAAAGTTACTAACTCCTGTGGACAAAGAAAGAATTTGTAAACGATGCAGTTGTTAGAAATAATTTAATAAAAAGAAGTATAATTTTCAACGTGGTAGAGCCACGCTGCAGCTATATTATGGTTGTAGTACGAATGGGTCGGCTTGACCGTGGAAAGACCACGCTCTCACACAATACCAGTGTAAAATGGCAAATTAATGCTGCTGTGTTTCGTATGGTGAGTGTAGAGAATCGGAGACTCTTTTTACTGGGAGCGAGGCATCAGTCCTCAGCGGCGACAACGCATCTGCATTTTGATTCTTAATTAAGGATAAATCATCTAGAGATCTCTATGGGCCACAGCATCCACTTACCATCAGGCGAACTGTATGCTCGGCTATCACCCTTATTCTATATAAAAAAACGAGCCAAGTGCAAGTCGGACTCGCACATGAAGGGTTCCGTAACATCATAATACACGTTTCTAGTACCGGAGCCCGTTTTAATTTCTAATTTATTTTTATTATTTGTTGTTATAGCGGCATCAAAAATATTCATTCTATGAAAATGTCCACCTATTAAGTACGTATAATGAGATACAGCCCGCTGACAGACGGACAGACGTACGGACGGACGGTCGTTAGTAATAAGGTCCCGTTGGTTACCCTTTGGGTACGGAAACCTAAAAAGTGTCAGTATTGACTCTTACGTTATAAAAACATAGAACACATTTAAGTAAATACAATATATTCCCAAAATAATATACGAAATATGCAAATCAACAGCAACACCAGCTTATCTAGTTGATTACTTCTTCCTTGCTCCACACAAGTTGTTGCTCTCGACTGGCCACCATTATCTTATGAAAGGTCGGTAACCAACCGAGAGCAACAATTCGGTAGGTGATCAAAACGACTTTAAAAAACTAAAACTATGCTTTATTACTTGAAAAGTAATTTATTTTTTATAGGATAAGGGTGACAAACGAGCACACAGTCCACATGATGGTAAGTGGTTGCTGTAACCCATAGACATCTACATCTATCTTCGATTACGAATCAAAATGCAGATGCGCTGTAAGGGTCTCCGGTCAACACTCACCATACGAAACACAGCAGCGTTAAGCTGCTATTTTACGCTGGTATTCTGTGAGGGCATGGTCCTTCCCCGGTCGAGAAGAACCATTCGTGTTACAACTATACTACTAATATAGCTGCAGCATGACTCTACCACGTATAAATGTCTGTTTGTGGCACCGTAGGTCTTAAACGGTAACTTGTCGCCTCTTACGACACCCGACTCATTACGATGATATAGGGTAGTGGATATGGGGTAGTGGCCACTACACGGTAGCTAATGTAGCCATGATTGACGGCTCCGTGGCGTAGTGGCTTAGCAATGAGTTGCAACGCTTGGGGCCGCGGGTTCGAATCCCGCACGGAACAAGTATTTGTATAGCCTACAAATAATTGTTCTGGGTCTGGATGTTTGTCCTTGTGCAATATATGTTTGTAAACTGCCTCCACGATACAGGAGAAAATACTAGTGTGGGGGTAACGTTTTTTTTTTAAAAAAAAAAGTAGCCATGATACGGCAAATAATGTATGCGTGCTTTGCAGTGTTTTAATATGTATAGCATACCAAGTAATAGTCTTAAATTTAAGTCTAATTGTTACGGACGGCTCGGGAGCCGCCGCCCCGTCGCTCCCTCATACCCCGTCACGCCCCGCGCACCCCGCACACCGCCGGACGTCACACGTGGGAACACGACACCGGTGAAACCCCCGCCGCGCAAATAAATATCGGTAACAGGCCATCAGACCGCTGCTGGCAGTCATTCGATTCCCAAGCGGCAGTCAAGTAAGAAGACTCTCAAGAAATGAAGAAATCTCCCTCTACTGTTTCCCTAATTACTCAGATTTAGTAATTAATTGTGCTGCCGCATAACTGTTGTAAATACTTAATAAATAGTTGTTAAATGGTCCCACCTTTCTTTATACAGTCCCCTCAGTACTCAGTAAAGTTCATTTAGTAAAGAAAAGCTATCGAAGTAAAATAAATAAATCTCCTTTCAAGAAATAAAGTAAAGATAAAGTAAAGTTATACAGTCTACTTACACTCTCGAACTCATCTACACACTATTTCGACTCCAACACCGACGCTAATCCCTAATACTAATAATGTAGGATATATGTGAAATGTTTGGCCACTCTTTTTTCTTGCCGTGCCAAAATAAAGAGATAATTAATAGAATCAGGCGTTACTTTGCGGAAATCCATTATATGAAAACTTTTAGAAAAATTTACCCATTTTCCTCAGATGGTATAGACTCTACGGTGGCGGTACTCACTTAGCGGTTAGCCACCGTAGAGTCTATATCACCTGAGGATGCCTCGTGTAGAGGCGAAACACGTGTCGTATTGTCGTCAGTGGTGTGTTTTATTTATTTATTTACTTTATTGGAGACAAAACAGAAACAAAAGATATGAAAGAAAAACATACAAGTAAAATAAGACAATGGTAATTACAATTGTTTCCTACAAACTGTCTCACTAAGAACATACATAATATTTATATTATGAAGCAGGTCGTAATTGGTATCGTCTGCACAACAAACAGGGTAACAAGTCTGTACTTAAATAAAAAGAAAACAATCATCTGAAAACAATCATCTAACATGTACAATACTAAATACTAAATATCCTTATATATCTAATTCATAATTGTTACTAAAGTACTTTTTAATTTAGTTTTAAAAGCTGAACGGGAGATAGAGAACATATCGATGTCGTTAAGCATTTTATTGTGGAGGACACACATTCTGTGTACTGGTGCTCTTTTACCAATATTGGTCCTGGTTTTTGGTATATGAAATTAATTTTTTGATCGTGTGTTTTTGGGTGGTATTCGAAACCTTACCTCGGATAATAACTGTGAACACTTAATCTCGCCAACACAGATATTCCTAAAAGTAGTGGCGTCGATTAAAGTGCGTCGGTCTTTTAATGATAGCATTTGATATTTTGTTAAGAGATTTTCATAGGAAACGCGAGGTGAATGTATTCGATAGTTAACAATACGTTTGCCTAATGTAGTGGTGTTGGGAGTAGCGCTGCTGGAATTAGTGGTGACGGGGATAGTGCACGCAATTGAGGGAGGGCGGGAGGTGCTCTTCATACTAGGTAAGACACATCATTTTATTTTATAACGCGGATATTTGCCGAAGTAAATTTTCCTAGAAGCTTTTTTAAAATAAAGAGAAATAAAAACATGTGTGCAGTTCACACGCGGTAGAAATGAAACCTACAGAAAAGTAGAACCAGATATAGTTTTTCTATTTCACTATGAAGGTTTGACTTTGGATGTGTTAGCTGTGCACATACACATTGTGTTAGTGTGCGTAGCGCTCAGTCGCGATCGCGAGTCGAACGAATCGCAGTTACACACACAAACGCGCCGGTCGGTACAAGTCACTACTACAATCAAGGCGAAACCCTCATCGTTAAATAGAATAGCTATAATAGAAAACGCTGGATACTGTATTCTAGCTCATTCTCTGGCAGACTAAATCCTACATATTTTTATCCTATAGATATTTGTCTTCTTTTAGAGTCGCTTTTTCGTGAGTTTCACATCACAATTATTCTAAAAAAGTTTTCACTACAAATAAAGAATTAACTCACCGTTCTGACGTCAGATGGCGCTTCCAGGATCCCATACGCGACGATTTGCTTGCGATGCTTCACTGGAATATGGTCGTGGAACATGATGGCCATTTTTAAGATTTTATCATCCTGCGCTGTATACGTCTCTATACACCATTGTATCTACAAATTGTTAAGTAATATTAAAGCATAACGTTTGGGGGCGTCCATTACCAGATTCGTTACGGCACCGATTTCCGACAACTTTTAGCTGTGGCGGCGCACAAATATTTCATGACACGTCTGGCGTGTCGGGCGCATAGAAGTTGATGACACGCCTATTGTACCATCAGCCATGTGTAAAAATATTTTTTCTTTTTTACGCTTTTCTCACTTGTTAAGACCTAATTAAGTTTAGTTGACATCAAACATCAGTTTACAAACGGAAGGATACTTGTTTTTAGTGGGTAACTACGTGTTTTCTTTGAAATTGAGAGTAAGTGACTTTTTTTATGCAGTGATTACAAACCTTTTGTACTATTTTTTGTTTTATAAAAAAAAAAACATTTATATAAGTAGGTACAGCTAAATCACCCTGGAAAACCTTGGTTTTTATTAAATTAAATTTTCGCCTAATAATAACATCTGTAAATATCAAACAATCAAAAACATTAATTTGGAAAAAAATAAGGTTTATGATTCATTGATATTTACAAATGTTAAATATTATTTAATGTTATACAAATGTAAAAGTAAAGTCGATCTGAAAACGTCTAATTAGTAAGAATAGCAAAACAAGTGTTTTCAAAAGGAAAAAAACGCCGGCGCTATACGGCGGCGGATTGACAAAAGACTATTTATTAGCGAACTTTTTTATGCATGAATGGTTTCGAACTGTTTCAAACAAAAATAAACCTTATATCATATCACAAGAGCACATGGTACTTCGCAGGTTTATTCGGCCATATGATAGTAATAAGACGGCAGTTCAATCATTTTAAGCAAAATTAAACAATAAGACAAACACATTGTTTTTTTTTTTAACAGGAGACTTGTTTTATTATATAAATTAATGTGAAATTAATCTGTGTTTAACAGAAGAGGGCCGCTAGAGCTATTTACAATCTAAAACCGAGAGTCTCTTAGAGATAAATTTAAAGAAATAAATGTATTAACTTTGGCCTCTCATTATATTTACGAAAATTTAATGTATGTTCACAAAAACAAAGATAGTTTAAGTAAAAAAAGTGATATACATTCTGTAAACACTAGGAACAAACACAAGCTAGTGATGCCAGTTTCTCGACTCCACAGAGTCAGTAATTCATTCTTGGGGCAATGTATACGCTATTACAACAAGGTCCCGGAAAGTGTACAGGTTCTCTCTATTAGCAAGTTTAAATGTTTTGTTAAGTTGAAACTGTATAAAAAGGGTTATTATAGTATAAATGAATACATGGTTGATAATAACCCCTGGGAATGAGTAGGTCGCTTCCAAGCAGTTTCTAAATGTTTCTAAATGACTTTCAATAAGAATTACACATGTAATGTATACTGAATAAAAAATTATTCTATTCTATTCTATTCTGAAACGTCAAACGCTATTTCTTAGATTTGGTTGAGTATAGCAAGAATATAATAAATTGTAATACAGATCGTAATGGATTATCAAATGGACATGCGGCAATATTATGCAATATTGTGGTGCCCCATTTTAAAAGTAAAAGTAAAAATAACTTGGTTTATGTGAAGAAAAGAGCTTTAACCAAAAATAATAAATCAGTCTTTAGACAGAATTTGATTATTTGTGATTGGAACTCAATAGGTATAAACATTTTTAATCAAATTTAAAGTCTTATTTGACGACTGTTTTAAGAATAAAAATAAAATACTTACTTACTTACTTACTTATCTTCACGCACAATCCCTGACGGGGTAGCCAGAGAGAACAGATCGCCAAGTGTCACGATCCTTACATATCTCTTTCGCTTCTTTCAGATTCATTATCTTCTTCATACATGCACGTCTAGGTATCCGAGTACTCTTGACCCTACCCTCTTCGAGCAATTTGCTCACATGGTCTTCGAAAGTTAGTCTCGGTCTACCTCGACACCTTTTAATATTAACTTTCGCGCTATATATTTTCTTCACCATTCGGTCTTCACTCATTCGCTCAACGTGCCCAAACCACCGAAGCACGCCCTTATCAATTTTTGTGATAAGGTCATGTTTCAAACCTGCCATATTGCGAATCTCTTCGTTTCGCTTTCGGTCGGCCATAGTAACGCCGCACATTTTACGAAGAGATCGCATCTCCACTGCATTCAACTTACTTTTATGCTTCTTCTGGCATACCCAGGTTTCGCTGCCATATAACAAAGTCGGTACCAACACTGCGTTATGTATTGCAAGGCGTGCACTCTTCGCTACGCCTTGCCTTTTGACTAACGCAGTCAGGGCACCATTGACTTTGTTCCCGGCAGCGACACGCCTGTCCACATCTAAATCACATCTTCCATTCCGGCTAAAAGCACTCCCCAAGTATACAATTTCATTTACCTGTTCTAGACATTCCTGATTTACCCATATTTCACACTTCGTTCTCTCTTCGTCCCTTTCAAATACCAGAACCTTAGTTTTATTAGCATTCAAACGGAGACCTTTAATTTCACATTCCTCTTTCATACACGTGACTAATGCCCGCAGTTCTGCCTCTGATGGTGCAATAAGCACTGCATCATCAGCATACAGCAGACAATTTACTTTTATGTCACCCAATTTCACACCCAAACAGCTATCTTTCAGCTTTTGTAAACAGCTGTCGAGATACAGTATGAACAGCCAGGAAGACATGACACAACCCTGTTTTACGCCCGTTTGGACGCTGAACATGGGTGACAGGTCATGCCCTACCCGCACACAGGCTTTACAGTCACAGTAAAGAGACTGCACAGCCCTTAGCAATCGGCCATCCACACCATACCCCGGCAACAGTTCCCACATTTTCTTCCTTACAACCTTATCAAATGCTTTCTCAAGATCCACAAAAGCACAGAAAATCTTCTGGTTAACAGCCAGAAGCTTTTCCGTGATCATACGGAGAGAAAACATTTGATCCGTGCATCCTCTTCCAGGTCTAAATCCGCATTGTGCCTCCCATAGAAATCTTTCCGATTTCTCTTGCATCCTACGTGTCAAAACCTTCGAGTAAACTTTACTTGCTAAACTGGTCAAGCTGATCGCCCGATAGCACCCGCAGTCAAAATGTGAACCTTTACCTTTATATAAAGGCACAATGACTGCGGATCGCCAATCATCCGGGACATCCCCCGTCCGCCAGCACAAATTGCACAGCAGATGAAAGCTGTCCCAGACGCGAGGCCCACCATACTTGACCATTTCAGCAGTAACTCTGTCTAGTCCCGCAGCCTTACCACATTTCAAACTTCGAATCGCACGTTCAATCTCTTTCATACTGATGACCTCAGTGTCATCGAGGTCCGGGTCTGGCGTACCAGTCACGGCGTCATCCCCGGATCCCTCACTAAGGTCATCACACGCATACATTTCTCTATAAAATTCGCTCCATCGCTGAATAAAAAATAAAATAGGTAAAGGTATAAAAGTATCAAGCCAAATGAAACGCTTTCTTTGCACAGGGAAATGATCTCATAAAGAGGAATCAAACCTCAAGTGCTGTAACAAACATATTATTACAATTTATAGGAAAATAATTAGACTTACAATAAAAGACGCAGTTCAAAACGAGATCGCTCGTTCCAAAAATTTATCCAAAAGTGTATGGAAACTCATTAACAGACAAGGAATCTAACGGGAAAATACTAACCCAACTAATGCTAAAGGTGAACAAAAATATTGTTCATGATTCAGCTAAAATTGTTAACTCCTTTGTTCAGTTGTAGCACGAATGGGTCGGCTCGACCGAGGATGGACCACACTCTCACAGAATACCAGCGTAAAATAGCAGTTTAACACTGCTGTTTCGTATGGTGAGTGTAGAGAACCGGAGACCCTTTTTACATTACATATTTAAAACATTTATTAATGATTTTAACCATTATGTACGTAAAACGACAGACTCGACAAAGCTAGTCCTCTTTGCAGATGGCACTAATGTTATTATTTCAGCCTCAGAAATAACGAATCTAGAAATTAAAATAAACCAAATATTTGCATCCATTAGAATATGGTTTACTGTCAATGGCCTGTCGATTAACACTCACAAAACAAATGTTAAGTTATTCCGCAATTATGTCAGAAACAACACAACCCTGAATGTCACACTACGTGATAAAACAGTACAATCTGTAAAAGTTCAAAATTCTTAGTAGTGAGTATAGAGAGTGATCTAAAGTGTAAATATGAATTAGACGAGATTGAGAGTAAAATAAGCTCAGCTTGTTATGTACTAAGAAGCTTGCGGGATGATATTGATCAAGACATTTAAAATTGGTTGATTACGCATTGGTGGAATCAAGACTACGTTACAGAATTTTATTCTGGGGCGGGAAGCTTTCAATATAATATACACAAAGCCTTTGTTCTGCAAAAAGGAGCAATCAGAAACATGGTCCGGATAAAACATCAACAATCATTTCGCGAACATTTCAAAAGCCTTGGGGTCTTGACTGTTCCATATTTATATATACTGGTATCTATTCGCGCAATTTGCAAAAGTTATTGGCAAATATGAGACTAGACCAAAAAATTATTAGCAAAAACACTAGGAGAAAAGACTTTCATAATAAAATCATCTTTCGTATGGTCATGACTAAACGCTATGCTCAATATCGACCAGTACTTCTATTTAATAGATTATCTATTGATTTAAACAGTATGTTATACAGAAGTAGCTCCAAAAATACTTTAAGAAAATTCCTACTGAAAAAATATTATTATAGTATTGACGAGTTTCTACATGCTAATGGTATTACATAATATTGAATGTCTTAAAATTATTGATGACATTTTAAAAATAATCGCAATTTTTTGTAACATATATTGTTATTATTATTTTGTGATATTTTACACTTTATTTTATATATAGTGATGAGATTTTACTTGTAATTTTAATTGTATTTTTTGCATGAATTATTCAGAACAATTTTTAATGTTCAGAATAAATAAATCTTATGTAATCTTGTCAATAAACTGTAACAGCAATTATTATTTATTATTATTTTGACATGTTTATATCATGAAATGAAATGTTTGTTATTAGTGTTGTAATGATATTATTTGAAAGAAAAAAAAACAAATTTGCATGTATTTATTAAAACTTAAAATAAATATAATACGTAATATTTAATAATATCTCATGTAACATACTAAAAAGCGAATAAATAAAATAAACAAATGAAAATAAAAAGTATTTGCTACAGTATATATATCGTGTAGCGATTCTGTCGAAACGGTACACCAGATGCAAACCGAATTCATATCAGTTTCACATTGGACAGCTTATTGGATGGATTGCAATGTTTGTACCACAAGATATATTTTTATAGGATAAGGGTGACTAAAGATTATACGTGATGGTAAGTGAATAGAGAGGCCCATGGGTATTATTATAGGATAACGGTGACAAGCGAGCACACAGTCAACCACTTAGCATCACATCTACATCTATCCTCGTTTGCGAATCAAAATGCAGATGTATTGTCACCCCTGAGGACTAAGATGGTATGCCCTGTTTTTAGTAAAGAGTCTCCGGTTCTTTACATTCACCACACGAACACAGCAGCATTAAGTCGCTATTTTACGTTGGTGTGTGTGAGTGCGTGGTCCATCGTGTCGACTCATTTGTGCTACAACCGTAATATAGCTGCAGTGTCTACCAAGTAAAAATGCAATACGCAACTGGGTGTCGTAATAATATTAAAGGCAACTGACCGCTTCGACGTGGTCGTAGTTGAGGGGTCCCGCAGCAAGCACGTGGAGCAGAACGGGCGCGTCCGCAAGTGCGTACGTGCTCGCGCACTCCTGCAGGTGCGCACTGCACGCATACAGCACGCGCGCAGCCGTAAAGCGCACGTGCGCTCGTGCGTGTTTCACGTACGACTGCACTTCCGACGCAACGACACTCTGCAAACGGTTACCGTTACCGTTACAGCCCATTAAAAACCACTGCTGAACATAGACCTCCCTCTTAGATTGCCTCATAGGAGGGATATTTGCCATAGTTGTAATCTTACTATTGATTTGAAAACACCTCCCAGTGGGTCATGTGCTCCTGGTAGATTATCTACTATAAATCCATACATTACAGCCTATTAAAGTCCACTGAGGAACATATGCCTCCCTCTTAGATTGCCTCATACGAAGGATATTTACCATAGTTGTAATGTTACTGTTTCTTTGAAAATTTCACCTCTCAGTAGGTCATGTGCTCCTGGTAGATTATCTTCTATACATCCATACATTACAGCCTATTAAAGTCCACTGCTGAACGAACATAAACCTCCCCCATAGATTGACTCATACAGAAGATTTTACCACGCTTGGCAAGCGAGTTGGCAGCCCCAATTGTTTTCATTTTAGTCGTTATGAGGATAACGCTGCTGCCCATCGCCTGGTTCAGTTTCCCTCTGTCACCTCTTACGACACCCACAGGATGATATGGGGCAGTGGATATTCTTACACCGCCATTGCCACTACACGCTAAGTGTAAACGATAAGGGCAAACAGATAATCTCTTCCTAATGACCAAGTCCACCGTGTTACATACAGTTTAAAGAACTTACAATTGGGAAACGAATTTATTTGTGCCGAATCGGAGCAGGGGCGACAGAACCTTGTGCCAGCGTACTACACAAGTCTGCTGTACAATACATATGGAGGACCCGAGCGTGTTTATAGTACTCATTTGACTAATTTTAAGTACAGTTTTCGAAAAATATAATATCTATAATGGTGAATTACTTTTATAGTTATATGAGTTAGTAACTCTAAACTAAGTAAAGTTGACGGTCATGCTTATTTTTTTTTCCTCATTTTTTTTTAATAAAATTGTTTATCCCAATGCGTATACTCTACATAATTAAATTCAACAATCCAAAACTAAAAACATCTATAAAAAGAAAGTGTCACGAAAATATTTGACAGTGCAACACTTGTAAATGTATTTTTTTCTTGTGGTAATAAAAATAATCTTGTTCAATAAATGTTATTAACTTTTAAGATAAATCATAATGAGTATTATAATATTCCCAATTTCGTGACAACCGCTGGTATATTTGTGACATTGATAAAATAGTAAATACGGCGGCATCGCCGGACGTCATAAGCTTTTCACACGTTTCGGAAATTAGCCGAAACAGACAGACAGACAGAAAAAAATTTAAAAAATTGTATTTTAGTTATAAGTACCGTATTTACTTTCATATGCATTTAGTCAAAAAAACTGTAATTTTAACATTACAAACAGACA